GCTCGTACCCAGTTTCCTCGAGGATATCCTCTTCAGGATCGTCCTTAAAAAGATATTCTCTTCAGAATCGTCTGTATTCGAGGAACTCGTACCCAATTTCCTCGAGAATATACTCTTCAGGATGGTCCTTAAAAAGACATTCTTTTCAGAATCGTCTGTATTCGAGGAACTCGTACCCAGTTTCCTCGAGGATATCCTCTTCAGGATTGTCCTTAAAATGACATTCTCTTCAGAATCATCTGTACAAAGGTATCCTCTTCAGGATCGCCTGCAAAAGAGCCGTGTACTTAACATCCGGCCATTATAAGCGCTTTACAAATAACTCATAAGCCATGTACTTGACATCCAGTATTGAGAAAGGGCTAGATTTTCATGTTCATGAACAATGGGTGGACTATCCCTCGAACCTAAACACATGTGTTTTATACCTGAATGAGAACTAGACTTGTTCTCGAGTATACTTTCTTGGATTGATCTATCATATCATCCAATACATCAGAATGAAAATGACTTTATTCTCGATGTTCTCGAATTCACTTTGTGCCTCGTTAATACAGGCCTATTCTTTTTGTAAGGTGGTTACCATCCATCTCCTTCTGATAGACGCCATTTTATTGCCTTAACCATACGAGTGTGGGGGCTTCTTGATCAGACACCTCCTCAAACTGAGCAGTGGAAATTACACTCTCATCTAAAGTCTCGGTCTGCCAAATACCACCCCAAGACTTGGGGGCTCCGAGATGAGTAATGGCTCCGGCGTTATCTATAACAAGGTGTGTTTATATATGGGAGATTGTAAGGCGTCTGTAAGGTGTGTAAGGTGTCTGGAAGGTGTGTAAGGTGTTTCGGAGGTGTTTGTATGGTTGTGTTTATGTTTTTTTTTATGATTATTGGTCTACGGATCTCTTCCTATGAATATTCTCGACGGTCCTCAGACTGGGGCATCGTTCTTTCTCGAATCTCGAGCAACGACATTATACATCTACTCCGGTTTGACACATTAACCTGATTTATACTTCTCAAACCTGGACTAAGGGTTCTATGCTTTATTTCTCGGGACATGAGAAATGGCAAGTGGGTTAGTTGGGCGGATATAAGTAAGTTTAAATGCTTGTATACCTTGTTCGAGGTTAGATGATTACAGTTCTTGAGTTTGGTATGGAGCTCTACTCGAGAGAATCTTCTCGAGTCTCACTATCTCTTCATTATGGATATCACATGTGGCATCTCTTACAGTGTCTTCTACTCTTCTATCTCTCCTCGACAATCGAGGATGTATATGATGACAGTCTCTTCTCTTTGATGTTATATTACAGTCAGGTCTTCTCGAGTCTCTGGATTTCTTAAACAGAAGGTCACATTGGGACAAGTTCTCGGGGTACAGTTCAATCCCAGACTTATGTCCTCGACATCGAGTATTCTTTGTCTTCATTTATGATGTTTCTACTACTCTGTGGCTATTCTTGAGGTCTGAGTCTATTACTCCTCAATCAGAAGCATACGTCATTTCGACAGTGGACATGTCTTAGCCGCTGTTAATGGTGCATATTTTGAGACTAGTAGGATTCTCCACTACGTTTCCTTCTCAACAACAGAGTATATTGGGCCAAGTTCTTGGCATGCAGCTCCAGCTTATATTTTTTCTCGAACTTATGTCTTCGACGACAAATGTCAATAATTACAGTCTTATTACATCTTCTCTCGTGGTACTCAACATAGTATTGACAGAAGTCTCCTTCTCGAGCTTATTTCTTGAAGTCTTCGAGACTCATGTGTTCAACCTCATTTAGGCATATCTCTTGCCTCTATTCACGAGATTATTTGATATCACTTCTCATTCATTATTCTGAGATTTGGAGTTACTGCTTCTCGATCTGAGTGCGCATTGTAATCTTTGAGCAAATCTCTTGTTCTGCTGGTTATTGACAACACACCATTATATCTGAAATAGTGGAAATCTTCACTACTTCTTCTTCTATAATCCTCTAAAGGAGCGGGGTATTCGCCTCGATATTTCTCTGGTGCAGATTGTGAAGACCATCACATAATGCTTTCTCGATTAAAAGTTTGGACTAGTGACTTCATCTTCCTCAAACTTCGATGTCAATCATTATAAGTGACATGCACATCGAGAAAGGTACGCACTAATGCTTTTATTGCTTTAATCTTTCCTCAATGCTAACCTGTCGCAGGTTCTCGATCCAAGTCAGTTTTTCCCGAACTTGAGGACACTATATACTTCACGTCATCAAGCCTACCCTATCTTCAGACTTCAAAGTATAGGCTTGATAAGGGGCACTTGACGAGTCCAAATTAGTACGGCCCGCGATTAAGCCTGCCCAAGTTCGATGAAAGGTCCAACCGGCCTCTGGAAGCTTCTAGGTCAGTTCTTAATTACTTTTCTACCAAGAAGTGTTCCATAACCTAACTCTATAAATAGGGATCAACCCTTCACGGTTAAAGGTACGGTTGCACCCCAACTATATACTTCTTCTACGAATACTTTTACTTATTTAAGCATCGGAGTGTCTACTCTCGGGAGACTCCGAGGCCCTCTTTTGCAGGTTTTAGGATTTTGATACCGCCATGGCTGCCAGTTGATTGAAAGGGAGACGTCGATACAATTCCATCCTTCGTCAAAATACATTAGAGCTAAGATATTAACCTTGCTACGGTTGATCTCCTGGGAGAGTACTTTTTTTTTTTTTTTTGAAATGGTACTTTGTGAGAGTACTTTGATCACCTGAGAGAGTACTTTGTGAAAGGAAGGAATTAATTTACCAGCAAAGAGACAATGGTTTTGGGGTTTGGCAAGCGATTTCGAACCAACAGATGAAGAATTGATCGGCCATTATCACTACAAAAAAAAGGAGCTATAAGGACGCTTTTTTTGGGACGCATATGTAGAAAGTTGTCCCAATATGTACATGTTAAGACGCATGAAAAAAATGTCTCGATAGAAACATAGTATAAGACCTTTAAAAGTGTCCTAATATAAAAAATTAATAGGACGTTTAGAAGTGTCATATAATAATTGTCCGTCCCAATAGAACAGTTTATGGGACACTTAAAAGAGTCACCATAGATGTTATTAATGACGTCCATTAAAAACGTCCATAAAACTAGGACAATTAAATAATAAAAAAATTACTTTATCCGAAGTAAATTTGCATGATTTTGCATATGTAAGACTCAGATGTCTCACTTCAATTTAATTGTGATCAAAATGTATATTTGTATTTCCGTTTATCAGTTTTACAATTACTTTATTGCACTCGATACTTTTTATAATTGTTCCCAACAAATCAACTAAATCCTATTGAACTTTTAGTAATGCAAGTATGACATCCTAATAAATAGTAATGAGTTTACTCACCAAAACTATTGTTTAGAATAATATACTTAGTAGTTAAGTGTGGCATTTGATTTATAAAGTTAAAAACTTACTTTCATCTTTATAATTAATTCAAAATGAATATATTCACAGAGTAATATATCAATGACACGTGATTACATTTCTAAGTTATAACAGTAGTTTGTACATCTTTACAAATATATGCTCATTTACAAAATAGTATAACTGCGTATTTACATTTGTAAGTTATAACATCAGTTAACTATACATTTTCATTTGAAAATCACATTGTAAGTTATAGCATTAGTTATTAGTGCAGTGATGCAAGTTAATATATACTCCCTCTGTCACAAAATTATTGTCCAGTTTGAGATTTCACTTTTAGTACAATTTGAACTATAAATGAAAACCCAAACTAGACAATAATTATGGGACGGAGGGAGTATAACCACTATGATTAGCTCGTTACGTCTCAATGTTAATTATTGTCAACTGCAAATGGAACCTAGAATAGTGATTGATGACAATTCTTTTATTTGTATGTTATAATAGATTATATCAAATGATTCAATTGATTTTTTGTTGTTCTTACTAATAGGAAATTGTTGGAGAGTAGTATTTCTTACTAAAACTTATGGACATCAATACATTATACATATGTATTAGTGTATCTCAGGGCACAATGAAAATATTGTCTTTGTAAAAAAAGAAATATATATATATATATATATGTTTATGTATATTAATTCTTGTCATCTTTGTTTTCCCCCACAAAAATGACATCATAAAATATTGCTACGTCCCAACAAAGAAAAAAAACTGTTTTATTGTAATGTCTTTCAATAATGTCATTTTATTTTTGGATGAATGGAATAATACTAAATATGATACTTGAATTTCAGTTCAATTGTTTGATTTTCATCTCTTGTAGTCATATGTACAATTTTTGAACAATTTTCTTTTTTGAGTTTTTAAAGATAGTATTAGAAAATATAATAAAAGAAACAAAAAAGAAAATAAATTTCAACCCAAAAAAATAAGAAGACAATTAATGGAAAGAATAAGTGCATAAAGGAAAAGGTAGAATGGCGCCAATTATTTTTACCCCAAAGAAAAAGTGCCATAAAATCCCCCCTAAAATCCCCCCCTAGAATGGCGCTAATTATTATATAAGTCTTTTTTCCCCTTTAACCCACTGCTATTACACTAGAACATTCCAATATGAGTTAGGCAGAGAGAGCTAAGGTAAGGTTTTTCTCTTCTTCTTTTTCTTCAATCGGTCAATTAATTTATTGATAGTTAGGCATGAAGCATTGCAGTAGGAAGTTTTTGTTTGGGTTTGAATTGCTATATTTTGGATGCTTTCAATAACTAAGGCGTAGGCTTTCTAATTCATAATTTTGGGTTACCGATTCGGAAGGAAATTCACAGAGAAACAATTGGTTATTTGGTAGTTGTTCTAGTTGAGGAAGGGGAGAGAGAGACGCGGGACTTGGGTCTCTTATTGATTTATTTTTCTTTTTTCTCCTTCCATTTGACAAGGAAGATAATCAAGAACACACAAATCGGTTATTGGCATTGATTTTGAGTCTAATATGGAATTTAATAGTCTAATACAAAAATATCTACTCTCTGTTTTGAATTTATGGCTCCAAAAAATCCAAGACGGCCTACAAAAGAAGGATTAACTCATGGATTAAGAGATGAAGATGAAATCAAAGAGTTTCAGCAGCCACATGGAAATGGAAATGTACACATGCAGGTTCCTCATCAACAAACTGAGAACCAAGGTTAGATCGATTTATTTGCTAATCTTTGCTGGAAAATTTATTTGTTCTGTGTTTGTGCTGTTTTATATTTGCTCATCCTTGAATTTGTGATTTGCGTTTAAGCATAGAACTTGATATAATTGCATTCTTATTGTTCGTGTATATGTTGGTATCTTCTGTGTAATGTGTTTTACGTATGTTGGTAGTTTAGTTTGCTAGATGTAAACTGAAATCAATTTTATTTTTTAATTTCCTTTTCACTTTAGTAATCTTAACTTAATGAGGATTATTAAGATTGTTGAAAGTGACAACCTATTATTATGTATATCATCTTCGCGGAGTTTATCTATTTGTTTAATTTATTTAAATGCCATTTACATTGTGCAACTAAATTCTTTCTTTGTTTCTAGTATGGCAACCTGGACAAGTAATGATAGAAAATAAAACTTCTTGACCTTATTGAAATTTTCTCTATGAATTATCCCTAGCGATGAGTATAAGATCGAGAAAAGCAACGCATCAAGAATACACTAGTCGTCGCCTGCAAGATACAATACAAGTTGAGGAGTCTCAGCATCAACAACGACTGGAAACACAACTAAGCTTGCAAAGCACTCAAAAACCCAAGAAGAAAGGTAAAATATGACATATATTAAGCTATACTTTTTAAAGCTTTTGAAGATGGCAAGTAGTAAATGTTTATCATAATTAATTGCAGCTGCACCCCGAGGGCCAACCATGTTAAGACAGATGTGGACAACTGATCCTAATGCAACACAGAAAGTAATATCTGTCAACAGAAGGGGTCAACCAATCGGTCTTAATAAAGCAACATTTGTTGAGTTCTTGGGCACAATAGCAAGAAATCCTAAGTTTACTCCTCTTCATATTAACGATTGGCGCAATGTATTGGAAGAGATGAAAGCTGATATGATACAACTAGTAAAGGTAATAGTGTTGCATGTTTTGCAAAACATTTTAAAGTTGTCATTAGTGTAGTTGTATTAATATTTCAGATTTCTTGTAGGAGAAATATGATATTTCCCCCGGGTCTGAACATTGGATCTTAAAGTCCATAAGCAAGAAAAGGAGGTCTTGGAGGAATACAGTAAAGACTTTGAATTTTGATCCCACACTACCAATTGAGGATCAAATAAGCAAAACCTGATCGAGTTACTGACGAACATTGGAAGGAGTTGCTATCTTATTGGGCTGAGAAGAAAACACAGGTGTATTGAGCAAAACATGATTTTATTTATAAGACATGCATTTGGTTTTAGTTTTAGATTTGCTACTCCGTTTTTGTTCGTATTTTTTCTTTATTATAGTGTGTAACTTGTAAGAAATGTCTATTTTCAGGAAATTGCTGAGAAAAATAAATCAAATAGAGAACTTTTAGTCACACACCCAACTACAGGGAAGCGTAGCTTTACTGAAAAGGAGGAAGAATTTGTAAGAGTACATGTTATTTTTTTAGTTTGCCATTTTCTTTCTGAAATTTTATTTATACACTCCCTACCTTTCTTCAATAGAGATAATTGGCGGGCCATTTTCCTTCACGTGTAGATTTGTACTATGATTGCTATGGAAATTCCAAAGGACTTCCTCCAAACGAGACAGTTGCTGCACAATTTGTAAGAAGCAATTTGTGGTTAACTTTTACTTAAAGAATAATGAATTTTCAAAATATTGGGCAATCACTGACAGATTTGTTGCTTCTTTTTTTTTCCCCTTCTCATTCTGTCTCTTCCTCAATGTGTGATTGTTTAGGCTAAGTTTAGAGCAGCTCGTTCAAATTTGCCTTATGATTTTCTAGACCCGATTGGTCGTGATGACATATTCTCGCAAGTTATGGGAAAAGATCTGCCTAGAAGGGTACAAATGGTTGGCTTAGGTGTAACTCCCGCCGATGTTTGGGGTGTCATTCCAAGTCGTCAGGCTTCTTATCGCATGTATATGGAACAGAAAGAAGAAATAAATAAAGTTAGAGAAGAACTAGCTCATGCATCAAAATTAGTGATAAGTTTGCAAGAAAGATTTGATTTACAAGAAAGTGCAAATAACAGTTCCCCTTGTAGTCGTATGTCAGCTAGTGGGAATAACATTTCTCCTCGTGGTCGTATGCCACCTGGGCAGTCATCAAATTCGGTTGATCTTCAAAAGAATCTTAAGGTAAAAATATTCAGTTCCTTTCATTACTTAATATTTGTAGAAAATGCAGGATAGTATTAGAATGTATTGTTTATTTGAAGAATTGAATCGTTACTAATATGTAGGATACTGGATTTGTGGTGTTAGGTTGGGGGTCTTGTACTTCTGAAAAGTTTGCAAGACAGTAGCAAAATTGTGGCAAAAGGAGTTCTTTGAATCCTTGATCCAAATGGAGTCGTTGGAGGACAACGTCTTGGAAAATCTTGTTGTGAAGTATTTGTTGAAATGGTTATGGAGTGGGACGAAGAGCTGGTTAGACCCTATATGGATTTAACCCTTGTTGGAGATGCAGCAGGAAAGTCTATTCATTGGCTTCGCAACTTGGTAATTCATAGGTTCAATGCAGAAAATATTTACATCAACTCTTTGTTGCTCTTGTAAAATTGAATTTGTGCTTATGAAAGTGTTTTGCATATCGTACTATCAAATCTAGGTGATCCATGTTGATGATCAAGAATGAGAGTTGGTTTGGTGAACGCGGTAGACCATTGGATTGAAGATATGAAGATCATTCATCCTGGTGTAGTTCCTCTTGGTGTAGTTCCTATTTTGTGGAAGAAAAGCTTTGTTTATGGACTCTGAAAGCAATCGAAATGTTTAGTAGTTTAGCCCTATATTATTATGTTGGTTTGAATTCCTATTTTGTACCAATTGGTTTTGTCAACTAATTGTAGAATTGAATTCTAATTTTGTATCAAATTGGTCATGACCGACTAGTTGATATGTTGGATCGTAGGATTAATTCTACTATATTTTGGACCAACTAAGTCTTGTAGCATTATTGAATTCATATTTTGGACCAATTGATTTTAAATGGGAATTTAAGTAGAAGTGTTCAATTATATTGTGATGTTGAGAGTTTAGTTGTCATTTCGATGATGGTTTTTTTTCAAGTTAATAAAAATTGTGCATAACATCATGAATTTTTTTTAAAAAATAAATATAGTATATTTGAAAAAGAGAGGAATATATATGGAACATATATATATATATGTATTATTATATTTAAGAGGAAAGAATACGCTTATAATCCAAGTAGTAAAAAGTAAAAGAACATTTTCTACACTTGTAATCTGACAAAAAAAAAGGGAGAATTGAAAACGTTAAAACAAGGAGTTTACCCCAAAAAAAATGAAAAAACAAAAAGTCAAAATAAAGTGAACAGAGCATTAACAAGAAGAAATTTCACATCTGTAATAAGACAACCATTCCCTATTTTGCTTACGCTCCGGTCAACCCCAAATCGTATTCCCAAAGCGTAAATCGCATCTCGGCGTCTTTCTCTCTCATCAAATTTGCAGTGCCCGTTAACTTCTATTTCCAATCGTATTCTCAAAGTCATTCATCGTTTGCCAAACTTTGCCCTAAATATTTATCTATCACCATCATAAAGAAATTGATTTTCCTCGATCTCATCGCATCAAGAAGCTCGCCGGAGACGAATTGAGCTTTGGGAATGTAACTGAGGATTTTTTTTTCGATTGAAAATTCTGTCCAGCTACAAACGGGGAATTTCCAGGTACCATTAGACTACCCCTCGTCTCTTATTTACAACTCTTTTTTGGTTCTCTGCCCTACTTCATATGCAATTGTGGTTTTGTTATGGTTGGGTGTATAATGGAAAATGGATTGGTTTTCTTATGCTGTGTTAGTTATATAATTTTTGTATAGGAAAATTTATGTAATTCTTCTTAATTTCATTTTCACTAAGACTACCTTCATTGAGTTTAAAATAATGATTTATCAATTCAACACCCTAATGAAAATTTTCCTTACATTTTATTTAGAGAACATGGACAAGACTTGGATGCAACTTCCTAGGAATAGCGAAGCTTATGAGGCTGGGTTAGAAACCTTTCTTGATTTTGCTTTCTCTCATACGGGTGAGAATGGGACAATTTTGTGTCCATGTAAAACATGTAAAAATGTCATTTGCCGAAGGAGGGATGATGTTCGAGATCATTTGAAGTGTATAGGTTTCATAAGGAACTATACGAAATGGATAGCTTATGGTGAACTTTCATATTACGGTGAAACATCATATGGTTGTGAAGCTTCTTGTAGTGAGCCAAATTTTGTTGACAATATGCAAGATTTGCTCAATGATGCATATAGGGGGGCGTACGAAGATGTTGAAATGGAAGACAATGGAGATGTTGGAGTTGAGGAACCAAACATAAAAGCAAAGAAATTTTATAGACTTGTAGAGGATTCTAAGGAAGAATTATGGCCAGGATGTAAAAAGTTTTCGAAGTTATCATTTTTAGTGCGCTTGTATCATCTTAAGTGCCTTGGTAAAATGTCTAACAACATTTTCACTATGTTGCTGGAATTATTGATGCATTTCCTGAAGGTGTGAAATTACCCAAATCTCATTATGAGGCAAAAAAGGTAATTGGAGACCTAGGGCTTGGCTACAAAAAATGAAGCATGCCCGAATGATTGCACATTGTATTGGGGGTAAAGATGAGGATCAAACAAGTTGTCATACCTGTAATTGCACAAGATGGGTAGTCTCAGAAGGTGATCCCACAGGAGAGAAGAGAAAGATCCCGCATAAAGTTTTATGGCACTTCCCTTTCAAGGATAGATTACAACGACTATTCATGTCGTCGAAAACTGCATCTTTCATGAAATGGCATTCGGAAAGTCGACCTAAAAAAGGCCATATGAGACATCCGGCTGATTCTTTTGCTTGGAAATATTTTGATTTTAAGAATCCTAATTTTTCCAAAGAGCCTCGGAATGTTAGATTAGGTTTGGCCTCTGATGGATTCAATCCGTTCAAGAACATGAGTGTTTCTCATAGTACTTGGCCTGTGATATTGGTTCCTTACAATTTGCCTTCATGGATGTGTATGAAACAACCTTATCTGATGATGTCATTGCTCATACCAGGCCCATCAGCTCCAGGGAATAATATTTATATATATTTATAGCCACTTATAGCAGAACTGAAGGAATTGTGGGATGATGGTATTGACACTTATGATGCATCATGTAAGCAAAATTTCAAATTGCGGGCATCAGTATTGTGGACTATTAGTGATTTTCCTGGCTACGCAAATTTGTCAGGGTGGAGTACTAAAGGAGAGTTTGCATGTCCAGTTTGCAATAAGGATACTGAATCAAAATGGTTAAAGTATTGTGGAAAACACTGTTACTTGGGTCATCGACGGTTTTTGGAAAATGATCATCCATTTTGGAGAGAGTTGAAGTCATTTGATGGGAGGCAAGAACATAGGCTTCCACCTCTTAGACCAAGTGGATCTACTATCTTAGCTGATTTGGATGGGAGTGAAATAAAGTTTGGTAAACTAGTGAATGACAATCCAGATTTGCCTTTCAATTGGAAAAACAAAGAGTATTTTCTTTGACTTGCCTTACTGGAAGGAGAATTTGTTGCCTCACAATCTTGATGTCATGCATATTACTAAAAATGTTTGTGAGAGTATTGTGGGGACTTTGCTGAATTTAGATGGAAAAAGTAAGGATCATTTGAAGTCTCGACTTGATTTAAAAGAAATGGGCATTAGGGGAGACCTTCATCCAATTGAAGTTGAAGAGGGATCGAACAAATTTTATTTGCCTCATGCATGTTTTACAATGGAGAAAAAGGAGAAGGAGATATTTTGTAAAACTTTGAAAAATGTGAAGGTTCCTGATGGTTATGCATCAAACATATCAAGATGTGTGCAGATAAAGCCTGCAAAAATTTCTGGACTCAAGAGTCATGATTATCACATTTTGATGCAACAACTTTTGCCATTACCACTGAGGAAAACTTTGCAAAATCTATCTGTGGTCCTTTGATCAAGTTGAGTAGATATTACAGGAAATTGTGTTCTAAAGTTATTAATCCAGAACAAACATTCCGTATGGAGAAAGACATTAGCTTGATTATGTGCCGATTAGAGAAAGTGTTGCCTCCCTCCTTCTTTGACATTATGGTACACCTAAGTGTACATTTGGCTGGTGAGTTAAGAATAGGTGGACCTGTCTATTATCGGTGGATGTATCCAATTGAAAGGTATAAGTGTTATTTATTATTTTTAATTTTTTTCCTATGGTTAATGATAGTACAATTTGCATGTTTGATCATGTAGGTATTTATGTACATTGAAATCATATGTACGAAATCGGAGTCGTCCAGAAGGATCTATTGCAGAAGGATACATTGCAAATGAGTGCCTATCTTTTTGTTCATTATACTTTGATGAAGAAGTTGATACCAAATTCACCCGTAGGAGTAGAAATGATGATGGTATTTGTGTGGACAGTACCACATTAGATGTTTTTTCAAATCCAGGTCGTCCTTTAGGGAAGGGGGATGCAAAAGTGTTGAGTCCTGATATATTACGCAAAGCACACCAATATGTTTTTTTTAATTGTGATCGATTGAAGGAATTCATTAAGTACATACTATTTCATTTATTCTTTCATGCAACTGCAATTGTAATTTTTAGATATAATTGAGTAGATATTGTAATGGATGTTGATGATTTGATTTTCAGTGAACACTATGAACTTGTGAAGAGAAGAAATACCCGTTTTTCAAAGTACGAGATTGAGCGGATCCATAGTGAAAGTTTTGCATCTTGGTTTGTTGAAAAGGTAAGTGATATAATGATTGTTTATTTTCTATAATTATTTTGGTAAAATTGAAATTGTTTAACTTATTTTTTTAGTTCAGATCGTGTGTTGTTGTAACATGTTACCCTCTCATATAGTAATACATGGTCGTAAAAATTCATATTGTTGTTCACATGTTATCATCTGTAATAGGTTCTGAGGTTTTATTTCTTATTTTATATATGAATTAACAAGCAAACTCCTTAAAATATGATGACCCTAATTTGGATGATTTGAAATTGTTAGCAAGAGGGCCAAATTCTATTGGAAAATATTACAAGAGAATTTTAGTGAATGGTTTTAGATTTCACACAAAAGAGTTGGAAGAGAAAAGAAAAACACAAAATAGTGGGATGATTGTCTCTGCAACAACAACCAGTTTTTTGAGCACAAAGGATCAAAATCCTATAGTGGGAGAGGTTCCATATTATGGCGTATTAAAGACAATCCTTGAATTGAGATATTCTAGCAATCAAAAAGTTGTTTTGTTTGATTCTGATTGGGTTTCATCAGGGAAGAAAATAAAAAAAGATGAAGATGATTTCACTTTGGTTAACTTGTTGAATTTGAGGCCCCATGTCGAGCCATACATTTTGTCTTTTAAAGTAAAGCAAGTGTTTTACGTTGCGGATCCTACTGAAAAAGGATGGCATGTTGCTATAGAATCAAAAGCGAGAGATGTTTATGATATGGATCCATTGAAATGGTTGGAACGCTTTTGCAAAGTGATATTAGTAATACTGGAGCAGGCTTTGAAGCGGGCGAAGATATTAATTGGATTCGTGATGGTGTTACCGACATTGTTGTTGAGGCAGAGAAAGATGACTTACCCCCTGGTAAGCTAGCCTTATATATTTTACTCATGTGTTGCCCTTTAATGTTTATTTATTTATTTTTTTTGTGTTGCTCTTTTGATCATATTTGAGTATAGGGGTGCATTACTCTTACCAACAACTCTTTATAAATTTAATGTGCGCATGTCTTCTTTTTGTAATACTTTGTTCATGCCACTCAACTTTAATTGTCAAATAGGTGACTTGAGAGGATGAAGCTTAGTTATATGTTCTAGCTATGTTCACTTAATTTGGAGTTGATGAGATGTATTGGAAATCTTATCTGTCTTTCTTCATAATTTTACATCAATGATTTTTTTTTTTTTTTGTGATAACCATTTGTTGTGTTTTTTATACTTAGGTGATGGACATGCTCAAGATGATGAGCGTGCTCAAGGAGATAGGTGTCTCAAGATGATGGACATGCTCAATGTTGACTTTTGAAGATGGTGAGTACTTCATTTCTTCTCTTTGAGTTCAAGTGGTCATATTTTGATTGGGTGCATTTAGTTGTATTGTAATTACTAAAATGTATTTGATAAACACTACGAAATTATTGAGAATTGTTTTAATCTTGAAATCATTTAGCTTATAATAAAAAATATTGATGCCATTATACTTTATATATATATATATATTTTGCGTTGATGGTTTTTCTAAAATAATTTGAGAGAATAATTTCACAGGTGTAGAATAGGAGAAAAAGAATAATCTATTTCATTATAGGATACTTGTATGCGTCCTACTATGCTTAAAATTAAGTGTCCTATTACGGATCAAGATATTGGGACACTTTAAGGCGTGGAGACACATAGTTGTTTTAGGACGAATTTAAGTATTGTTTAAACTATTTAAAGATTAGGATGCAAACAAATGTCCTAATATACCTGAGATAATATGGCGTTTACAATCGTCCTATTAACGATTAACATATTGTGTTCTTTAAAAGCATCCTCAATATTGATTTGACTGGTCAACCTAGCAATTATTTAAAGGGATGCTTTCGTCTATTAGGACATAGTTTTGCGTCCCTAAGCCTTTTGGGACAGCCTACTACAGGACACTTAATCATTCGTCCCGAAAGTATAAGCGTCCCGAAAGGTGGTTTTAAAGGACGCTTAGTGGCATCCCAAAAGCTCATTTTTTTGTAGTGATATATTTGAGAAAGACCATCCTTAGAGAGCCCTTATCCCCGTGGGAATCCAGGGTGGTGATATACAAGGAGATGTACGGAAACGAAGCAACTCCCTGGGAGTTGTTCAATCATGAAGTCGATGAAAATAACCAGTTGGTTCTTCCTTGGGTAACCAACGTTGATCCTTTGGGAAAAATCGAGGCAGATGTTCGAGTCCTCTACGTGTTCACCAAACTCAGCAACGTTGGAAAGACAGAAAAATCGTCCGATAAGATGGAAAATCGGGTTGCCGGATGCGGAACCTGGCACGGAAACAAGACGAAGGAGGCCGTGTGTGGGAGCGAGGGGACCGTGATAGGGTACAAGAGGTCTTTCACGTTCAGATCTGCACGGAATCAAACGACGGTGGGGCAGTGGAATATGGTGGAATACAACATGGAGGGCGCGGAGGACTTCGTGCTTTGCAAGATTAAGAGGAACGACTCCAACGCTTCCATTGGAGGCAGGATTGTTTCTACTTCCGCAAGTTCCGCGACTTCAATGGTGGGCGAAGCTTCGACATATTTATCAGCGAAGAAGAAGAGCAAAACAGACAAATTCACCAAGAACAGTAGTAGTACTAGTGAGGATCATGGAATTTCAAAAGTTGTGGCGGCGCAAGAACCGTCATGGGCTGCCTCAGGAGTTGATAATACTATGAATAACAGTGTGTTTTCATCGTGGGGAGACCAATTTCAGCAACAACAACAATATCTTCAACCAGTGCTGATGATGCCCGCAGGAGTGGTCCATAATCAAGAACCTGTAAATGGTGGAACTGAAATCAACACGTTTTTGTCGTCTGGACAGACTCATCATTAGCCGGCAGCTTCGGGAGAAACAATGGATCAATTATATGAACCTCAACAAGAACAATTATCTTCAACAATTGGGGAGAATTGTGTCGGAGGGGGACAGGATGCCACCTCTTGTGGATGCTGAAGAAAATGTCTTCAATCAGAAAGAGTTTTTGGATATTGGAGACGACTTCTTTGATGTGGAGGGGATCATCAAGGAGCTCATTCAAAGAAGACTGATGATGATGTGGCAGACCAAGATCCAAAACATCATCACTTGTTCCATGATCCCACCAAGACCTTGTCCAACAACCAGCTGCTTCAACAACCATTATCCTCCTCACCCGCCAACAACCACGTCGAAGACACATTGAAGCTGAAGCCTCCTCCGGCTCCTCCTAGTCGACGTCGGAGTAAATATGATGATGATTTTGGATTTTTGGTGGCCAAAAAGGAATAGGAATTTCGACTCGCTATGAAGATTGTTGTCTGATGGGAGAATATGCAAAATCAGAAATACCATTTGGTGGACCAACCAACCCTAGCTCCGGGCTACAGCTGAGAATCGAACTCTTGTGAGTTGTGATTTAACCATTGAATCGCAATCTTGTAACTTCTCTGAGAAGCAAAGTGACTTTACATAAGCTTGTTCTCAATCTTCAAAGGAGCAAAAGTGATTATACACAACGGAAGCAAAACCTCATCAGCAATGGAGATGTTTTCTAGCAGCTGCTTGTCTTATGGAAGTTTGCAACGGAGAACTTAAAATGTTCTAGAATGGTCAATACTTCAGTATTTGATTATTTCAACTATGTATATATGTACGTCAACTATTAATGATGATACAATTACTTTAATAACTTATTCCAAAATTATACAAAGTAATTAATTAACTTGCGATTTTTTCTGGTATGCATTAACGAGCAGAAACATACAACATTAGATAGTCCATATTCAATCCATATTCAAAGTGCAGCATTTCCCCCATAAACAACATCAAAAAAAAAAAAGGATCTAATCCATCAACCAAACTGCAGTTGGTTTCCTGCTTTCTTCCATCTAATCCTAATTGATTAATCTACACGAAAGAATCACTCGCTTTTCAAAACGACACCTTCAAAAATGCCATCAGCCCGGAAGTTGGGAGAGAAGAGCCTTGGATCAACTGGTCCAGGGAGCCTGAAGGAAAGCGTAAAAGGTCCAGGTGAGCATTGTTGCTGAAGCTTCATTGTGTAAACACGAGAACACTTTTCAACTGTACTTGAACCAGTAGTGGTCACACCTCGGACACGAACTCTTCCATCGCGTTCAATCGTGCAGCTAAATTCCCCTGCAATGACAACCATTTCTCAATATTCGTGTAGGATTAAGAGAAGATTCTTTTTTTGGAGAACTATAATCAGAAAAAGCCAGAACCAAGCAAGCCTTTTAGAGTGAATTATGGGATCATGCTGCTTTGATGAAGCCAAAAATCATAGGTTGTCAGGTGATTTGTTCGACGACACTAACAAAATATAACTGCACCTCAAGAACAATAAACCAGACCATTCTCATATTCTATATCAGACCTTAACAACGTAGACAAACACTGGAATGTTGAGGAAAAGGTCTAACACTTATTGCCAAAATAGGCTACCAGCAAATCCATTGGGACAATGAAGCTTTTGTGGACTGACAGGACGGTGAAATTGATATTGAATATAAATGGTAAATGAACTCAAAGCTGTATCAGCTAGAAATTAACCAAGACAGAAAAGATCAAATGAAATAAATTACATAAATACCAGGATCTTTCTTGACTCCAGGAAGAGAAACACGGAAATAATATGCGGATTCACTGGTACCGATATCCACAGAACCAACAGCTGGTCCAGCTACCCCTGCGCTGGCTGTCCCCTTCAAGATAACTGGCCAACTTGAACTAACTTGTTGCACGTTAGGAACTGGGAGAAGGGGTAGCATACAAGGCCTAGGTTTCGGCACATCATTTTGAATGGATTTACGAGCATTAATACCTTCAGGTACTACTTGGGTATCACCAATACTCTTTGGCGCATCAGAAAGTCGCTGCCTTTTCCTTGTGGTAGCATCATGCTGGGCTAATCTCGACGAACTTTTATCCTCATTAAGAACTTGTTTCCCTAGTCCTTCTCTACCAATGCTTTTCAAGCGGTCCATACTGTGCCCGGAAAATGATTCTTAAATCAGTATAACTTTAAAAAAGGAACTACGGGTAGTAGGTAGTATTGGGTTGTAATAATGTTCGTTGTATAACATTTGATGAAATTCTCAAAGCGGTAGATAAGCAGGATATTCATATGACTGCAGATGTGACGACCCAAGTCTCCGGCACGACTATTTATCGTGTTCAGTGACAAACTGAGCCGCCCGCCGGGCGATCTCTCACCCAAGGCTTTGTGGAACAGAACTAACGAAAACTATTACATGTTCAAATTTCTAAATTTTCACAGTAGAAAACTTAACTACAACAGAAGATGTTTCCAAAATTTAATACAATCATGTACAACTTAGAGTAAACAAATTCTAATACAATTTAAGTCACAAATAATTTAGATTAAAGAACACCCAAATAATTATTTCTTTATCATGCCAAAGTTTTACGGAAACTTGGCTCACTTGCTAACCTGTGGTGGAAAAATTATCGGGATGAACTAATAGCCCAGTGAATACCTCAAACAACAACCCCCAGTCTCTCACACTCCATACGGTAATCAAGTCACATGCACATACAGTTACTCACAGAATTCATTTTAGTCATTATTCATTTTATATTAACACTTTCTAAATAGTTCTATCATTCTAATGTGATAAAAGAACTAAACAAATGATTTTCAAGGTGAGTTGCATTTGTAAAAGAACGATCATTCACACAGTGACATATAAAGGATGACCGTAACCGAGGCCATCAACATATTAACAAGAAGATACAAGCGGAGAGGATAAAGGTGGATCTTAACCGGAACTGCCAAAGACCTATGTGGTCCGATAGGCTATCCTCCAAGTTAGATTCCAAATAATATTCAAGATTATTCAAACCAAAAGCAGATCATCCTTTACCCCAAGTGGCCATAAAAACAAGTATTCGTAGCTCGTGCACGCCTACTAAAGCTATCCATAGTCTATCCATACGTCTGTGCCCATCGCCGACCCGTTGGAATCGATCTATGGTAGCGGGGCCTCAAGACTGGTGTGATAATGTACACATCCAAGTCTTTAACAAAATCATGACAATTCACGCGCAAGTATTTCCTTTACAGGACAAGTCATAACAATAGCGATCCTCGGTATGATAAAATACACAACCGAGTAGAAGAGCCAAGGATTCAATTCAACTGGCATGCAGGCCAATAATGTAGTCACATAGACAAGGGTTCAAACAGTAACACCAAACTTGCAATTTGTTCAAGAACACAAAATTCAACAAGTACGCAAGTAGCACTCAACAATCATGCACTTAAAGGGGAGACAAGATTACAATATACAGTGTGAAAGGAGGTACTCACCTTGTTGCTTTTTATTGATTAAAATCCTTCTCCAAATCTGTTAATAGAGCATTTAGAATCATTATCACTTAATTGTTTTCCAAAGCTAACTAGTAGTATTCATATACAATGGTTTTCCTTTTATGACGCTAATGTCAATGATACATTTTCTATTTTATTTCCCCCAAAGACTTTAGATGTCATTCTTAGAAACTAAAGTTCTAGGTTAAGAGCTTGTTCATCAGAGAATGAAAACCAAGAAAACTTCATTTGAAAAGAGTAGTTGGGATAAGGAAACGAAATTCTGAAATTTCACCGAAGGACTAATAAAGCTTCTATTTCTGAGCATGGTTTTTGGTCAGAAGAAGGATCCATTTCATGAGCCGTAAAAACTAGTATAAACTAGGTTTATTAAGGAAAAGTTCCATGAAAAGAAATCAAAGAAAAGAAATCAAAGAAAACGGTTCCAAATTCAGGAGAAAGATGTTCTCCAAAACAGTACTTCAAAGCTGATGTTTCTGCAGAATTTTCAGATTCAATAGTCAAGTTCAAATCCACTTTTTGGGCAATCCGTAGCTTCATTTTACAATCCGTAAAGTCCGTAATAAACTCCAATAAATATAGAAGATACTCACCAGAAGAATTTCCATAAAACAGTTTAGTCAAGAGGAGAAACGAATCTCCAAAAGCAGCAGCAGCTCATAATAGATTTTCAGAAAGTGCTCGTCCTGTTAAAATGAAGATTTTGGCTGATCTACAAATCCATTTTGAAATCCGTAAAAACCACAGCAAACTAAACTGAATGAAGAAGATACTCATGGAAAGAAATCCCAGAAAAGAGTTTAAGAGCTAAGAGAAAAAGGCCCGACAACAGACAGTATCAAATCTGATTTCATTACATTTCCAGCAACATAATCAACAGATATAACTTGTTTTCAACTAGAAATTCGGAAGATCCATATAGGCTATTAACAATCCACTAAATGAGCAATAAAATTTGAAGTATAGAGAACAAAAGTAGTTAGAATTTGGATAGAATTCTCCACAAAACCATGAAAACCGAAATCTATAAGGTTGGCCAGCGAATCTGAAAATTCCCCTTTATTCTTACAAAATGATTACCTCTAGTTCCAATTTCTGGATACATTCATTGACGTCCAAGTTACTGCTAAACTTCAAATTGGTTACTAAATTATTTTAAGGGCATAACAAACATTCCTTACCATCTATTCATGGCATGCAATGTATGAATCTAAAGAGTTAGCCAAATTACGACTCTCCTAATTCACCAAACAATATTACAAAACTAGGGATTGCTAGCCAAATACTTAGAATCCTTACCTCTAATGGCTGCAGATACACGGACCTATTGCATCCATGTTGCTGCTGCTCATAAGCCAAACCGAATTGTCAAAGATTCTTGCTTCTTTCCCCGTAATTCTACCTCTCACTCTCGGTCTCTTCCTCTCCTCTCAAACAATCACCTTCCTCTTTCTTTCAATCCTTGCTTCCCTTATTATGCTAAACTAGAGTGAATAGAAACTATGGCAAGACAAGGGGGCTGTTGAAGGTGGCAGTTCGGCAGTGGAAGCAGAGAACTTCGGGAGGTGGATTTAGGCTGAAATGAAGGTGGAGGAATACTGAGTCACATAAGGCAGTAGAGGATTGAAGGTGAGTCAAGGTTCTCCGATGGTGTGGTGTCGACTTGTGAGGGTGTGGGGAGTGTGCTGTCATTCAAAGACGGGAAATGAAAACGGTGGGGAGGTTTTGACAATTTTTTCTTTTCTTTAGGAAACCCCTAAATTTCTAAGTTAATTAAATTGATCCCCTATATTATTTTCTACAACATTATAATGAAGATTTATTAATCTATTTGATTCCGGTTTTCCATTGTCTATTTATTGTGTACATTTTCAAGTATTATTATCAACTTGAGGTATGTTATTATTAATTTATAGTACTATATAACTACTAGCTACTACCGGTAAATATTAAGTTAGGTGCTTACTTATAATTTACGTTTAAATATAGAGGTCTCAAGATTAGTTAGGTGCTTACTTATAATTTACGTTCAAATACAGAGGTCTCAAGATTGGCGTCTCACAGCAGATTAGTCCGCAATAGGTAATATGACTTAATTACCACCTTTATAACTAAGCACATAAGAAGAAATTTCACTCAGACTTTCCAATCATTTATCTTCCTTACATATATATAGCTGACTGCTAACCCGCTCATGCCTAGATTGTATAAGAAGCATCTTAATCGGTGTCTTTCCCTTGCAGTAACAACTTTACATTTAGAACTAGATTTCGATACAACATTCTACCCGTTCATACAACAAACACAAAATGAAAAACTTGTCCTTAACACCAAAAGGACGGTCTGATAATTTTTACATTTCGAATTTACCTTTCCACATTCAATGCACATACATCAACAAACACAAAACTGAAAACCAAACGGCAGCCATTACGGTTAATTGCTCCTGGTAACTGGAAAACATTTCTCAAAGCAATTACTTATCCTACATTTGGGAATATAAATACATTCACAAAATTCATCCCAGTTTAAGCTTACCCCATCACCCGAATAGATGTGAAAACTATTAACCGGTTTTGAGAACAGAGTTAGGGACACAATTCAGCTACATGCATGCTCCATGCCAAAAAAATCACCGAAAATTCACTAAAGAACATTAATTTTGAGATGAAATCAAACCCACAAGAACCATGTAATCAAATGTAATAGCATTCAGATTCTAATTCTTAAAGGGTTCGAATTGGAATGATGATCAATCATGAAGATATCTGAAGTATAGCAATTAGACAAACTAAAGGGGAAACAGAGAAGGGATTCACCTTGATTTTGATTAGGCTGACCAAGTGAGTGATTCTGAAGTGTAATCTGGGTAAGATTCTTCCTGGGGAGCTCTCAATTTTGATGAATGACCAAATGAAGCTTTCTCTCTTTATTTTTTTCGGCAGCTTTTGTCTTTTTTTTTAATCTAGCTTATTTATACTGTTTGTCAGGATTATCGGGACTGGACCCGGAAATGGAGTTGGCCTGGTCGGATTAACATGTCATGCAGAAATGGCAAGGGATTGAACCATTGAGGTGAGGTTTATGACACTGATGTGCGATGAAATTGAGGATGAAATCAGTTGAGTTTTATATGGGAGTTTATGTGGGGTAAAATAAATACTAAAAAGATTAAAGGAAATAAGAAAGGGTATACATGTAGCTTAGGAGTTTGTAGGAGTTTGAGTCCTGCTCTTTGCATTGTGCAATGTGCATACATTTCCCACTTACCACTATTTATATTTAATTTAACTCTATTATTATACACTCACATACACCGAAAAAATAGTTTATATAAAACTTTAATTTTTTTTATTAGTTTGATATTTGTACTTCTATAATAAAAAATAAAAATTCAATGCAAACTTTTCAGGATATAGAAATTATAATAATGATGATAGTATGGAATAAAAAGCTATGAACCAAGTTTTTTTTTTTTTTGCTACCTACTCTACCACCCCTCCCCCCCATTTTGCCCCCCATAGGAATCGATCATGGGTCTTCCAGGATGGCCCCTCCCTTCCGAAACCATTGGAGCAACTCTCGATTTGCGCCATGAACTAAGTGATAAGGTCATTTCATATTTAATTTCGAGGTTGAATTTTCAATTTTTATTGCTAATGTGGAAAATAAAACAGATACAATAAGAAATGAATAGCTGACGTTAGTCTAGCAAATATCACCGATTACAAGAATGTCATCCAACCATATCATAAAAGCTATATTTGCACTTTAGAAAATTGGCTGCATAATTTGAACAGTTGAAAATGATTATTTCTTTAGAGACATTTGGATAAAATTTGTTCCTGAGGACCTTGAAGTATCGAATACATCTGAGTAAAACGGAATAAAAGATAGATATAACAAACCTATTGTATTTCCAAACAATTGAGAAATTAATCTAAAAATGATTATTTCATTAAAACGATTAGAGTAATCAATCAACCGAATATATAGATTGGATCCTTTATTAAATTTATCACCAAATTATTGATACTTTCGAGATATGCATAGTTTTCGTTCTGATTGCCATTGTGTGCGCTTCACAAAACCAAAAATCAAGAGTTTATGGCACAATGGCCAAAGGGGACGTAAAATGTGATCATATGTTTCGAAAAGTTTGTATATGCTCTCATATCAATTTGCCATCACCCATTTGAAAATGTGACGGCCTTTTAAAGTAATTAACCTCACATTCTCACTTCCCAATTGAAAAAGTAATTTATTGTCCCGAAAAAATTATTCACATCAAATTTAAAATTTGTACGGTTAGGAGGTAATAAATAATTTATAAAGCTGAAATGCATAGGAATATGTACTTAGTTTATTGAAATGTCATCTCACAGAATAAAAAAAAAAGAATTGTCATCTCATAATTTCTTTTTTTTTTCTACATACATGGTACATGATAAAAGTATTTACAGTAGTTCTTTTTATTTTAAACAAGGAAAATTTCTCACATTTATAAAGTATTTATTATTTTCTCTGGTTATTCAGATTATTTTCCAACAAAAACATCGTTTGAAAAAATTTGTCCACATTATTATTATTACTACATAATTAGCAAAGTGAACTGTACTTTCCAGAAAAATTATAAATTTTTAGCCGTCAGCTATATTCAAACAAAAAATGATGCTATCTCATCTCATAATCTTACAAATTTATCTAATAATGCAAGTAAGAAAAGACCCACCCATTGTATTTTCTATTCAAGGAAACATTTGGCTAAAGGGCATAAGAACATGTCAAATTAACAAAAGCGGTATGACCTTAAAATATTTTTAATGAAGGGCGGTATTTTATTTATCCAAAGAGCATAAATAAAAAATACGTGTGAATTGACAATTCCATCCTTATAACTTATTACGATACTTTTTATTTTTCATGGCTTTCTCCTAATTTTATACCTTGCTGTTTTTTTCCCTATTCAACGTCCTTACAGGACAAAAAACCTAACATGAAGCCAATCATTTTTCTCATATCTCCATGATTGGATCTCTTTTTATAGGTAGTTAATTTCTACATCGGCTCGAGGATACTAAGCTAATTTTAGGTAAAACTTCAGGGCTTCAGATATATAGAAGAAAGCCCAATTAAGATTTCAAGGAACAGAACTGCTAGGATGAATTTAGGTCAAACCAATGTTATTGCTAAAATAATTACATTTTTTTGATTTATCAAAATGATGCTGCTAATGCTACCCCAATTAAGTTTCGTCATGATTTTCTCTGCAAAATCCCAAATCATGATGATTGACGAGGGAAGAGAGCCAAGGGAGTGATTTTTGTGTTATGTGTTTTATGAATTTAAAAGAGTATTATGTCATTATAAAATTCATATTGATTTTTTGATTTTTAACAAATACACTATCCCCCTTTATAAAAAATATTTTTAAGTCATAACCTTTTTTTATCAATTTGACTTGTTCTACTATCCTTTAACCAAATTCTCCTATTTATTCAAATAAGAGTTAATCAATAATGACACTTTTAAACTTTTAACTGAATTTATGAAAAATGACACTTTCCCTCCGTTAAATGTTCGTTTTGAAAATGTTGATCAAGTAAAGAAAATTTGGTAAATTAACAAAATACTTTGGAAAAAACGGCAAATTATCTGGTACACCCGGGGGTACGGTGTCCCCCCATGCGCGTGTACCTCACTCTCTTACAATAGCGTTAGTCTGCCATTATAATTCAGCTTTCTTTTTCTTTTTTCTTTTTTTTTTAAACGCGGGGTTATATAAATAACCGAATTCATTCAAATTTGTTAAACTTTGTGATAGAGTATTATTGATGGGAGATGGCCGGCGACGATCGAGGCGTTGAGGCGGCAATGGGAGTCGGCGATCGTGGTGTTGAGGTGGACACGGCCGACGGCGATCGAGTCGTTGAGACGGCGATGGCATTCAGCGATTGAGGAAAGGCTTCGATTTCACCAGAGTGGCGAAACGGTGATTGGATCGACAATATGCTTAGTTCAGATCGAGTGATGAGTTATGTCGTTGATGATTCCGTCTTGATCAATGCGGAATGTAGTGGTAGAAAATCCATCGAACAACCTTACTGTGCCAGTAAATCAACGCAAGGTCACAGTTCTGTTGTAGATCAGCTGGAATCAGGTAATCAATCAAGTTTTTTTCACAGTTCTATTTTTGTTAATATGAAGTGGATAAGCAGTTATCCTGTGTTGGATATCCAAAATGTTTTTACTGGATATCCACTTCGTTTGTGTTGGATATCCAGCTTATGTGTACTGGTTATCCAACTGATACACATGTGTATCCAAATTTTATTTGCTGGATATCCAACATTTTTGAGTTGTTTATATTGAATTGGTGTTTTTTCACAGTTCGGAGTGTACTGTTTGTGAGAGAATAATCAATCTAGTTTTTCACAGTTCTGTTTTTGTTA